TATTCCGATTTTAATGAAACTCAGGGAAATGTATTCATGTTCTAAGAGGACTATTTGACAATTTTGCACCCACTATTTCTCTTAAAATAAATACTAAAATCACTAAATACTAATACTAAAAAAAGCATATGAACAACACATTCCTAGAATATAGGATCATGTAACCTCGATCTCCCCTAATTCTCCGTCAGAGTCGACAGAGTCGACAGAGTGACTTGAAAAATCGACCCTTCGCCAGCGTTTCACCGCGCGTGTAAACCCATTCTCGCGTAGTAAATTGGTGCGATGCGATGGACGTAATAAAGGCCGAGCCTCTCTCGAACGTACTCATTGTTAAGGATACGAACGAGCGGATTACGGGCGAGACGAGTTTGCAATTGCGTTACGAGCGTATCCACCGACGCGGGATTAACCTGTTGGAATAGATCAGTCGCCGAAGATAGATCAAGGTATATCAGGCCGCGAGATTAGTCGCCGATAGTAAACGGGTTGACACGTCCAAGACGGTTATATCCTCTACGCAAGGTAGGCCGTTTGCCCGCGGCGCGCATTGTAACACCCGCGTAGGAACAATGGGAAGCTCGTGCGCGATGATTGATCGTGCAGCTGGATGCAATTGTACCTACTCCTGCTCCTCCTCCTCCGCGGGATCCTCAAGACCGTCGTCTCTTATCTCGGCGGCTCTTCGTCTTACGCGCCGGCTTGATGAGTTTCGCTAAGTCCGCCGCGAAGACTAACCGTTCACACCGCGGTAGTTCGCATACCAAACACGCGGATGCCTATAAATTTCGCTCTCGCTAGGTATGGCGCACCTACGCGATGACCCATATGGAGGATTTTATTATCGTGCGCAATAAACAATGAGAAGTTATTGCTATTATCACTGTTATCGCTCCATTGTTGCTGTTATTACGGTACATGTTTGTCCACACGATTGTGTATTCGATATACAATAATCGATTCTTGCCACGTCGATGCAAGTAATGCGAACGCATCATCGCTGGTGCATCTGCGGTCACGTAATCGAGATGACACTGTCGATAATCCCGATATCGAGCCAGCAGCTGTAATTTCAGCCGCGGCGCAAACATTTGCCCCGGTTATCCTCTACACGGAGAAGATATTGTAGACGAAGTTGCAGACGAATTTTGCGATCGTGGATCCGGACAGAAATTATGGCCGAAATCTAGATACTTGCTTAAACATGTTATGCACGCTTGACTTTTTACTATGCAATTCTGATCATTATTTATTTTATATTATTATTTATTCTGATTATTATTATGTTCTTTGTATCGTGTATACACCGCGCGTCCAATTATGAGAAAGTGCTTGTAAATATCACATGCCTTATTTCTGTTATAAGTCATTTCATGCACCCAACTAACATGAAACAAGCAACCTATAGAAAAGTATATGCTCCTCCACTTATTACGTGAGATATAAGCTTTGTGACAGCTAATCCGTGTAACTTTTAAACCCGGTTTCACTTACTTATGATAGATTCACAGATATATAAACTTATAAAGTACTAGAAAAAAGTAACATTTACTTGAATGCAGTATATATTTTCCTGTGCACATCATCCGTACCGTAAGCGAACGTATCATATTTGGGCCAATAGATACTTATATTCAAGTATTATCGGCGAAAACATCGGCTGGATGTATTAACGTAATCCAGCACGCGGATCCCTCTATGGGATAGCGAATCGTCTCCCAATCTCCTCGATTTAATCAAGCTCATTCTTTCCGTCCGGTAGAATTCGATACGCCGATGAACGGTCAAAGCATTTAGTTTCATTCGAATACGGCTGTCCCTTCGCGGCGTAGATCGAGATCGCGTGGGTCGTGAGCGAGGTGCATCGAGGACTCGACTTATGCAAATTCAATTTAGCCCGCCCGTGCAGTGGAGGAGGACCGGTCAGGGTCGGCCTGTACACTTCGCGAACACTTCGGCGTATTGTCATTTAAAGGATGTCGGGACTAGACATGTCATGTAAATCGTGACTTTACGAATGATACCTATTACGGTAAACATTTCTTATTATCATCAAATATGCAATACTCTTGAAACGTATCATTCTCCCGAATCTGCAGTGTGAGTATTAAATCAATCGATATCGTGCGACTAGCAAATATGTGAATTAAAAATTAACACTCGCACACATATGTTAGATAGGTATCTTAATTTGCCACATTTTGGGGCCATTTTTGCTCTCACTTAAATACATTACGCAAAAATGCTAATAAAAATCTATAGAAAATAATAAATATATCTTTAAGTGTATATAATAAAATTATATACAGAACTGATTTGAAATATTCACTTAACTACTTCATTTTACTGTAAACATAAAGAGAAGCACGATGAAAACGTGAGTTTACATAAAAATATGTAACTTGTTTTGAAATATATTTAATGGATTAACATTCTAAGATTTTCTTGCCAATACTTGACCCTTAAAAAAAATATTACATATTTCAATTTGTTAAAGAGTATAATTATTTGGATATGCAAATGTATACTATTTTTTTAATCAAGAGCCGAATAAAATGATTAATAGTTCCAAGTTTTTGCAGTATTAATCTATTATACAATAAATAATGTATAAATGCAGATTTTATCAAAATTATTATTATTAAAAGATTAACTATACCTGAAACTTTTCTTTTGTTCGTAATTAGAGTTTAACGGTACAGAAACCTTGTTTACATATAATATAGAACGAAATAAGCTACTTACGTAAAACTTCTTTTCTATATAATATTTAATGTAAAGATGTGAAATATATAGCGAAAAGTTATCTTTATTTTACACTTTGACGTACTTGTAAAGAGCAAAATTTTACATTTTAATCTGGTATATTGGAATATTTTAATCTGGTATATAGGAATCAGAAACGACCCATAGCAATTTCGTCTTTTTTAACAAACAATTGAAATAACTCAGCTATGTCTAAATCTTATATTTCTTCAGAATATTTTTTAGGATGGAAAATAGAAAAAGAAAACGTTATAAAAGACTTCCTTATTTATACAATTTTCGTAAACTAAAAGGCCTTCCACTAGTTTGTGTGCAATTCAAAATCTAAAATCGATTGAAATGGAAAATGACGAGACTAAAGTTAATTGAAGACAAAAAAGTCAATAAGAGCGCCAAATGCTCCTTAAAAGATGTTCTTTAAATTGCTTAATCTTTTCCAAACTCACTCAATCTATAAATGAAATAAGAAGTAGTATTTTAAACGAATTTCGCTAAAAATTATTCGAACGCTTCGATGATCATTCGGAGTTTCTTCAGGTTTCCCTTTTTCAGAACAATTTTCCAAGAAGAACGATGTAAAAGAATTATTTCACTATGGACTTATTACACTTTGACGTACTTGTAAAGAGCAAAATTTTACATTTTAATCTGGTATATTGGAGTATTTTAATCTGGTATATTGATAATCAGAAACGACCCATAGCAATTTTGTCTTTTTTGACAAAAAAATGTAGAATGTGAATTAAGAAAAGCGGCTATGCATCTCTCCTTCTTCGTCTTTTTCGCGAATTCTCAATCCTAATTGATTCTATGCTGACATCCTTATTCTCTATTTTCTATTCTAAAAAGCGAGACGGAGTCTAGCGTACTCGGAGCCCGCTTATATCAAGCGAATTCCGCTGCAGCCCTGCACAGGGCGCGCACGTAACTCACAATGACGGTGCGCGAGAGGTGCCGCGAAGATGGAAGAGGGAAGCGATTGATAGATAAATAGAACGAGTGGGCTAGGAGGGAGGAAGTGGGCGAGAGGAGGGAAAGGAGAAGCGACGCACCTTGAAATCGGCTCGTCTTAAGTCGCGGCAGCTGGCCGGTTCTTTCGTTTTATTTCGCGTGACGGGCATCAAGGACCCGCGCGTTGCTTCTGCCAGCCTCTCATAACCGCTTCATTATCCGCCACTTTATAAATACGTTCCGCTGGGGCTAACTGTACGCGTGGTATCCGCGCGGAGGTTACTGCCTATCGACGGTGAGATTTTACAAAAGTCTCTCCACAGTCCCGTCGATCGAGAGGGGCAGACTTTGCATTCGTTGCGATGGTGGCTTCTCATGGGCATCCCCTTTCTTAGCTGACTCGCTCTTAAACTAAGCGACATATACTGCGACGTTACCACCGACGTATACACCACTGGAAAAATGCGTTTGAATGAAGAGACTTCTTCATATAGGAAATACTATGGGATCTAATTGAAATCCAGTCTGATTTTCCACATAAGACAATCATAGGTTCTAGGTGGGAAATTTATGCAGGTTTTAGTTAGAAGTGTAATGTTTTAAACATACGAATCTAAGTGAGAAACATCCATTCAGATCCAATTTGGTCATCCCAATGTTTATCCAGATTTTTCTGGTTTACATTTTAAACAGACATTGTGAGCGAAATATATGAAACACTTTGAGTATATACTCATTACAAGTATACATACATACACATATTTGTAAAGAGTAAACACTCAAATTATTTTAAATATTTTACCCAAAGAATTTACATAAAACATATTAATATTTATAGTCAATCAATATATTTCCATTTTAGCGTAAAAAATCTTAAATAAAAAAAATATATACATGTATCTTTTTTATTTTGAAGAAAAAAAAATATATATATTATATTAATGAAACTGATGCAGAAAACATTTAAAATAGCTTGAGTTTCTTTAATATTTTTGTTTCGATTCTAAACAAAGAACTTATGTTTGGGACAAGATTCCCATCGTAGTGAGATAATCTATTTTCAGGCAAGAATGGGATTCCCAATTAGTATTGTAATAATTGAATAATCTATTTTGGAGCAAGAATGAAACCCCTAATTGGTATTGTAGTGGGATAATCTATTTTGAGATAAAGTTTGGCATTCTGATTGGAATTTAACCTGCATTTGGGAAAATACTAAGAAATTTCTGTGCGAGCTGTTGCACGTTCCATTTCTAAGAGCTCCAATTTTTTATTGTCTTCAGGAGGAAATCGGCGAGATAATCGAGTCAGCCCCGACGACTCCGCTCCGTATCGCAGCGGAGGAGCCGAAGTTCCCGACCCAGCCCGATAAACTGTCAAGTCGCGCGCTCGATTCGATTGTCAATCCGAAGTCCTTGGCCGCGAAATCGCATCACTTCGCAAGGAGGCAGAACTCCGTGACGCGAAGTGGCGAGGACATCGGCGACTGGTCGAACAACGTCCTCGCGGAGTTCAACAGCCTAATCGCCCACGAGATCAGCGAGCTGACCAAAGAGAAGACGAGGACGGAGTCGGCGCGCGGCGACGACGACGTCAGGGTGGTGCAGTACAAAGAGCTGCTGAACGAATTCGGGCTGTCCGACAGTGAGAGTTCCGATCGGACGTCCAGCGGCGAACATGCCTTTCCTGTGGACGAGGAGGAGACTCCTCGAGATCGCAGGCATGAAAAGCCGCTCGTAGACGACGACGACGAGGATCATCGCTGTCTGTTGAACTCCGATTACGACGAGCCGCAGGACCGAGTGGTCCCCGAAGGGAGGAAGAGCGGCAGCCTGCCGGAGAACCTGCAGGACATCATCATCGCCAAACGCGGTCGGTTTCACACCGCGGACGCCCTGAGCTCGGACTACGACGAGCCCAACGGCTGCCTGCCGATGAATTCGATCAGGAATCAAGTCGATCGGATCACCTCTAGTCTACCGTCGAAACTGGAGCGCGAGTGCGCTCCGAGAGACGCGCGAGTGAATCCTTGCCGAGCACCAAAGACACCCGTAGGATTAAGTTCAAAGACCAATGAGGACGGGGCCGACGCGCTGCTACGAGTCGAGCCGTTCGGCAGCGCTGCGGAAGACTCCGAAGAGGTCAACGCGAGGTTGCCGCCGCGACAACGATCTGAGAGGAAGAGCAGTCAGCCGGTCAAACTGACGAGCCAAAAGCGAAGGAAAGTGGCGCGCCTGCAGAGGATCCGACGCGGCTCGGACGATCAGGAGACCATGGATCCCGATTACGACGACGTGTTTCCACACGAGGAGACCGGCAGGTCCAGGTCCTTGGAGCACTACGCGCCCAAATCGGCGCCCGTGACGCCCACTGAGGAGAAGAAGCCGCCTTTCTCGAAGTTGCTGAGGAAACGGCACACTCCTGTGTTCCACGAAAGTTCCGACGATGTTGTCCTGGTCAGTATGTCCTCGTTGCCGGATCAGGATCTGTTACGGCTGAGAAACGACAGGCCCTGTGAGACGAAGAATGGCAGGACGGGCGCGAAAGAAACGACTAAGAAGAGGGCGATATCGCCGCTGACTCTGCGCTCCGACATCACCGCGAAGAGACTGTCGGAATCGGACAAAGACGTCCGACAGGTCAGTCCGGTGGACTTGAAGAAGTTCTCGCTGTTGCGGCCGTGGGGCAACGACGTCGCGGTGAGTTGCGACTTGCCCGAGAGCCACGATATCGATGAGAACTGTGGGATCGCGAACGGCACCTTCGGCAAGCTGGAGCACGCCGAGGTGAAGAGGATCATCGAGGAGCAGAACGCGAAAGCTGGATCCGTAAGTTTATTGCATGATCCTTAATATTATTTAGTTTGTTGCTATTAATATCAACATTAACACGTATTGTTTTTAGTTTGCATTAGAAGCAATATATATATATATATATATATATATATATATATATATATATATATATATATATA